CCCCAAACCTGACTAAGCGACAAGAGCCATTGACTTGCAGCTTCAGAGGGCAGGCTACTTACTAACCGGTGCTCAAAACTTGCTTATATTTGAAAGCATTCCCGATTTACCTATCATGTACTTTAGAAAAAAGGGCACTTCGGCCCCTTCGGGCAATCGGCAATTTACTTGTGATGTTGCAACTACTGACGACAGCCCGCTCTCAGACGATGTAACTGGTAGCATGTTTCACGATGAAGTTTAAGAGCTAAGTAGGCTTCGATCGACCTTTGCTATATCAGATTACAAAATGGATAAAAGAGTACCATATTTTCCGGATTATAAGCCGCAGTAAAAGACCTACTTTCTCACTTAAGGATAGTCCGCTCTACCGATTAGTTCTGGTTACTGACCAAGAAGCGATTTTGTGGGGTACACGGCGCTGCGTTAATCCGTAGTCAGGAGCGTCACGGATTAATATATACTATGATTCACCATAATATTACAGTGTGTGCGTGCATGGACCCCAAAATTGCACTTGTTAAGAGACACGCTTACAATGCGGACTTCGAACTCAAGATTATCAGTCTCGCCGTCGTAGAACATGGGAATAGATTAACTGCTAGAGAATTCAACATTCATAAATCAATGGTACGGAAGTAGGGGAAGCAAGCAGATGACCTGTGCCAAGTAAAGAAGACCAAACAGAGTTTCCGAGGGAACAATGGGGTATTGAACAGAGAGCAGCAGGTAGAAGTGTCTCTACAGTCTCTGTTCGAATGAAGGCATGACTTTCGAGAATGTCTATCCTGGTGCTTTCGTTTAATGAGAAGACGTAATATCTCCATCCGCACACGAACTACTGTCTCGCCGCAACTGCCAACGATTATGAGGAAAAGCTGATCATCTTCTGCGCGTGCTGCAAAAAATAGTTACAACCGAACAAGGTTGGAACTTATTGGGAATACGCTCATTAACATTTGAACAAGGTTGAGAGTTATTCTAAATGTGTTCAGTAAAGTTTTACTGACTGGCTTCTCCGACTGTTTTGGCTCCCTTAGTGCATCTTATAGTTCGGTGTGCTTTATATACGAAAACAGTTCGATAATAAACCGTTTATTGACAGTACGCCCAATAGTCTGGAAAATACGGTTCATATCTCACGTTGACAAATCGTCATTTACATCAATTAATGTGTATTCAGTTTCTCCTCTATTTACGTTTAACAGCTCCTTCGGATTTTGTTATTGCCCTCTTCCGGCTTACGTCTATTCGAGTCACCTCTGCTGCTCTGGTGATGTCCATAAAAAAATACAAATCCTAATTTTTGTCCAATTGTCTAGACTTCGATTTTAAATAAGCGTGACCTAAATGCCGAAAATGCTCGCTTGCCTCCTAATTAAAAAGGCCTGCACTTACCTAAAATTGATACGTTTGCAGATCTACAAGGCGGGTTCGATAAGGATTTATCGTAGGGCTGCCTAGTGGCAGAAGTCCTCCGGCCCAAATGTCTTACTGAATTCTTGGTTGAATGGGGATTGAATTGGTAGCGCACACCAGGAGCAGTATAGGTGTATAATAACTACGATATTAGGAAAAAATTAAAACCGCTTGTTAGCAGATCGAAAATGTGGGTGAAAGGTTGCATTAAAGATAAAAAACTAAAAAGGAAACTTACAGAGCAAGAAATCTATCAGAACCATTCCTATTACCCAACATAATTGAAGAAATTTGCGTAAATTCAACCTACTGAACGTTTGTAAGTAGTTTA